AATTCATTTTTTAAATTTCACTTTAAAATTGTAAACTCTCACTTAGAAAAACTGGAGATGAACTCATTCATTGTTTATCTGGTGTCTAGTAGATGTTGGAGCTTTGTAAACGTGAGAAGAGTAATGGCTATCACCAGGATACATACTAAAAAAAGAACAGTACTCCAAGCAAAATGCGGCCTGAATATAGTCTCTCTTGCTGTGCTGTACTAGAAGATCAGCAGCAAAAAAATCACAGTTTTGCAAAAACTGGAAGAAGTATCTTATACCACATAGTAGAAGCTTACTTCACAGTAAAAAACCTATAGTCACCTGCTGAAGACTTTAGAAAACCTTAAAACTGAAGTATGAATACTAATCTACTCTATATAATCAACATTATTAATCTAGAGCTCACTGACTTGAAGACAAACATGTCTTCCCAAAATGCCTAACTTTTCTGCACAAAATAACAAAATGTCTGATTCTGCTGATTACTGCATATTTTTGTGAAGTGGGGTTTTCAGCCATAGTTGCGTCGAAAATTTAACTACTTCAGAAACACAAACACACCTTCCCAAGTTTAAATGGTATTGTTTCGTTCTGTTAAATGGATTCGTGCTAGTTGTCTAAGTGTGTCCTTTGGCGGGAGAAGAGGGAGCAGACTTGGTCTCAGGTAGCAATGCACCAGCAGTCAACACATTTGACACTTCTTGTCCTTGTGGACCTTTGCAGCCATGCATGGTGCCCTGCTGCCTCCCCAAACTCTGTCCCCTTCTATGACCTTCTCGGGGTGAGACCACCACCCTTATGTTCCTCTCTCAGCTGTCATTATTTATCTTTTAGCTGCTTGAATTCTTGAGCTTTCTGCTTGTCACAAATGGAGGTGGGGGTTGGGGGGGTGGGGGGGTGTTCGCTGTATCTGACTGTGACTCCCTTTACACAGAATCCCCACAGCCAAGGGAACTGGGTTTAGTATTATCAAAAGTAGTGTGAGTAACTGAGGCTCTTCCTTAAACACCTTGTTTTATACACCACAGCCTCCTCTCACCTGCCGCCATTTTCCCAGTGTCCATACAGCAGGTGGCCAGCAAATATTTGTTAAACAATCAGGAAAATCTTTTTTAAGTGACCTTCATTTTTGAGTTATTTTCGACACCCAGAAAGTGAGGACTTAGTATGCAAACCTTTTATTTACAGTCTTGGTGAGACTATTCCTTGACTTCCTTCCTGAAGAAATGAAATTTCTGCACGTTTGATTATGTGTATCTGTATCTGTGTGTCCAGACATTTTTCCTTTGTTGGATTGAGCTAAACAAACCCCAAATGTGTTATCAATGATTTAATTTGTTACGTTGCCATCCATTCTGTCAAGAATTATAGAGCATAGAGGCCAATTCAAACTTGTCACTAGTTATCCTACTCACCCTTTTTCATCCCTTCCCCACATACTGATATGCACACTGATTGCCAGCTATCAGTGCCCCCTTTCTTTTCTACTTCCTCAGTGGTACCTAGAAGGGCCCCTCAGCCAACTCAAGCTGTCTGCTAATAGGGGCGGAGGCTCCGTGCCTTCTTGCACTCTGACAGCAGAGCAGGACATACCTTTCTGGTATACCACAGTCCTCCATATGCTCAGTCCCAAAACGACAGTAGTCAGCAGCCCACACACAACAGCCAGCAGCATCCTGAGGTTGCATGCTCGAAGGGAAGCCATAAGGAAGCCAAACCACAAATCCACTTGGTGCGACAAACGACTGGCTTCTTTTCGTCTTGAGCCAAGAAGTTTAATGAGAAACTATTCTAAAAAATAAAAATTTCTCCTTTTAGTGATCTCTGAGACAAATGTCTTCTTTAGGATTTTAGATGTTAATCAGACCAGACACCTAACAATTGTAGTCACCTAATAAACCTAATCCTCTGGTAAGGAAGTCTATTATTCTGCCTGAAACTTCCTTATCCTTAACTGAATGAAAGCAAAACAAAATGATATGGGTGAGGAAGATAGCTCAGGGAAATAATTGATGGGGTCAAAGTCTAAATGTCCAGACAAGCAACAAAGAGAGAAAGGAAACAAAAAAGAAGAGAGGAGAAAGGCTTTGGGAAAACAGGTAGATCCAGAAGTCTCCTGAGCTCAGCTTCCTGTGCTTCTGCCGGGCGGCTCCATAAGAGTCTGTGCATCCAGCCCCTAACCCCTTCCTGGGGAAAGCGCAGTGGGCAACAGGAAGTTAAACTGTGTTGCCCACACCTGCTTTCAGAACCTGCATTTCTTTAAGAAGCCAGTATCTTCGCTGCAGCAGCTCGGCGGGCCTTACTAGCACAGGGTGGATTCTGAAAGAACCAAAACCCCACAACACAACCCATCTGCAATAGGCTGATGTGTGTCCCCATAAAAGTCTTAACTTCCAGTATTCAGAATGTGACTATCTGGAGACGGGATGATTCAGAGGCACTCGAGTCCAAGTGAGGTCATTGCAGTGGGCTTTCTATATGATGGTGTCCTTATCAGAACAGGCAAGCAAAGAGGGGAGACAGTGAGATGCAGCCACCACAGCCCAAGGAGAGTCCTGGAGCAGAGCCTTCCGTCCCTGGGCAGTGGGGGCCAATACTGACACAAGATATGCAACCTCTATCGACAGACACGATATGGATGGAGGGGAAATGCTCTGAAAAAATCAAGACTTTTCATGCTAACTTATGTTATGACCTCCCTTTTTTGTATAATCATAATAGGAAAATATTCTGAGCAACCTTCAGTTTACAATTGCCTCAGCCTCAGAAGGTGCTACCTGGCTCTGACAAACACTGCACCAGGGTGAGAAATTCCTCTTGAAGTCAAAAGTCATTAAACAACTGGCTGATTAATAAAAACAAATGGCTGTTATTGCAAAGTCTCTCTCACTGCCCTACCGAGGAAAACTCAAATCGTATCACTCTATCTCACATAGCCTTCTATTCAATTTCTAAATAACCACTCAAGCTTTCAACTATCTAGTCTTTAGATATGGGAATTCACCCAAGTCACCTATTCAGAGCTAATCAGGTTTTTTACCATCTAGACTTCAAGGAAACTCACTTAAACTTTCTAACAAGTTTTTCTCTTTTTTTTTTCTTTTTCTTTTTTTTTTTTAAAGATTTATTTATTTATTCATACAGAACTGGGGTACAGGCCAGAGGCTCAGGGGTGGCGAGAGGCTTCACCAGAGACAGAGTGGGAAACAGAACAGGCAGATCGACAAAGTACACTGCTGAGGGGAGCAGCGGGCAGGTCAGAAAGAGGTCTGCCAGGCCATGTGGTCACCTCCGGGGCAGGCGGGGATCAAACTCATGCGGAAGCGGCTTTAGATTCTCAGTGCAGTGCTTTATCCCACTGTGCCACCAGGGAGGGCCGCTCTAACAAGTTTTTGAAAAAACTTTACTGTAATTTAATTGACAAAAAATTTCCTCTTCCTGCCCTCACTTTACCCCCAGGAGGTCTCTAATAGAATAAAAGTCGTTAAGTAATAGATAATATTTCAGGGGCTTTATTTTGGTTAATCTTCACTGTGGTAAATATAGTAATATTAGTCTTAAACTGTAAATCTATGTACCTGTTTTAACCGTGATAGATTGATTTTTAAAATGTTATAATCTCAACTAAAGGTCAAAATGACCCCAGACTATTCTTAGAAAAAAGGTGATTGTGATCTTGTAACTGGGTGGTCCCTAGGAGAAGGGAAGTTCCAGGTTCCCTGCCCCACCCAGAAGGAGGGTGGGACTGAGCAGAGAAAAAGGAGAGAGAAGAAGAGAGAAGGAAGGCAGATGGAGAAGGAGACCTAAGGAAGCCACATGGAGCAGCAAACATGAGATGAAGAAACCGGGCTTGTTTCCTGACCCTGGACTGGTTAAGGCAGATGTGGGTGAGATACCTGTAGGGAGGTGACTATGGCAGTGTTTATATTGATTTTGATTTTGCTCTTTTCCTCCCAGATTTGTCTGGCCATTTCTGACCCTTTTCCATGGGTCCCGGCCAGAAGGTGCTTTTTAGTCTTGTGGCAGGCTTTCAGGCCTTGCTTTGGGCCAATCCCTTTTGGGTTGACTTTTGCCCACGAGGGGATGGGTAACTTCAGGTGTTTGATGTAGAAGTTACATTCTTTGTGTTCCATATTGTATATTCACTGTATTAAAGTCACTTTTCATTAAAGCTTTATATGTTTTGTCTTGTTGCGGCGGATGGCAGAACCCACTTAGAGTAGGCAGGTTTTGGGGCTTCAGGGGTGCCTCTCTGAATTGAGGTGCCCTATAACAAACCCACTTAGAGCAGGCAGGTTTTGGGGCTTCAGGGGTGTCCCTCTCCTCCTGTCCTCTAACAGATTTACTGCCCTATAACAATCTCAGCCCATTTCATATGCTAATGTCATCCCTCTGCCTGCCTGAAGTGTATAAAATAAAACTTTGCTGAAGGGAGAGCAGGAAGACTTGCACCCAACTCCCATTCCCATGTCTTCCTCATGCCCGCTCCCCTTTTTTTCCCTTTTCCCCCTTTTTCTAGGAATCTCCGCTCGCCGATGCCATTCCTGCCTGTTCTGTCCTCCAGTAATCCATGATTGGGGACAAAGAGTCTCTGACACAATACCAAGGGCGCCGTGGGACAATAACTTTCTGTTGGTCAAGCCTCTCAGGTGTTACACTTTGTTGCAATGGTCTCAGAAAATAAATCCACCACATAGGTCTCTATAATGCTGATGTCTCTGCAGCTGCAGCTCCAACCTTCTCCCATCCAGAGACCCATGTTCTTCCCCAACCTGTCACATCCTCAATTGAAAAAATAAAAGGAGTATTAATGACTGTTCACCTCCAATCAGAGTCTGTTCCAGTAGATTAAGAAAGGCATCAATCATTGATGCTAATGGTGGAGGGGTGGGGGACTGATAGCTTCCCTTTCGCCTACAATCATCAAAATAAATGTTTCTAAGAGACCATAACTATTAAACAAAACAGGAAATCTAATGAATCTCTGGGGTTGGAGCCCAACAAATTGTGTTTTAACTAGTCCTCCAATTTGATGGCAGCTAAAATTTGGTTACTACAGTTCTAGGAACCCCTAAGGGAATGGAATCAAATTTGCAATAAGCTAGAAAGTAACAAGAAATCACATGTGTAATAACACTTCCCCTTGGGTTTCATTTTGTTTTGCACCTTGATTTTTTGTTTAGAAGTTTGTATTGGGGCTGTCCCTGGTGGCGCAACGAGCTAAAGCACCACAATATGAAGCTCTCTGAAGCCACTGCAGCATGAGTTCGATCCCCAGCCAGGGAGCTGACCCACAAGGCGCAGCAGACCTCTCCTGACCAGCCTGCTGCTCCCCTCAGCAATGTACTTTGTCAGTTGGCCTGTTCTGCTCCCCACTCTGTCTCTGGTGAATCTTCTCAACCCCTGCATCTCTGACGTACACCGCAGCTCTTGTATGTATAAAAAAATCTTTAAAAAATTTTTTTAAATAAATAAAAGCATCAGAATGGTAACTGTATGGATATGATCACACATTTAACCAGAGTTTCCATTATGGCCATTTGATTATTTCCTGTTTTCTATGAGTACAATCCTGTTTATTTTACATTTCTCTTACATACAAATATATTTGAGAAGTCAAAAGAGCATGGATTCTAGAGACTGCTGGGGGTTGAAGCCTAGCTCCCACACTTACCAGCTGTGTGTGCCCTAGTTCCTCATCAGTGGAGCTCAGGTCAGTCCAGAGAATCAATGACTTTCCCTATGTAAATGACTTATATCAGTGCCTGATATCTACTAAGTTCCTGATCTGCAAGTTCCTGCTACAATTACTTGTTATTCTCTTCATCACTTTATTTACAATAAATTCCCACACTAGAATTAAGTCAAAAAGAAAACAAATTTCTAATGTTGATGACTGTTTCCATAATAGTCTTCATTGAAGACCCACAAATTCACAACTCCCACATTGATGCATAAATATGTTGAGACTCAGTTGTCTGGTCAACATTGAAAAAGAGGTAAATCAATGGTCAACTATGACTAAGTTAAGAAACTTAGTATAGGATATAGTTTGATTTTCTTTTCTTTCTAGAAAGACTGATTCAGATAAAAGGTAAACCCACAATTTACATTAAGAACACTAGATAACAATGTTAAAATTAATCCTGAAAATAGTAGTGTGAAATCTGATTCTTATCTTGAGCAAGATAAGGTGGTATTTTCAAAGTCCTTCATAAAACAGCACTACGATATATACTCTCACAAGCTAATATTCTGGATCCTAAATTTCTCCTTTTAGTATAACGACTTTACAGAAACTTTTGCTGCAAAGATCAGTAACCTACTGTCACACAAAAGACCACACCAAAGGCCATTTATTTACTCACGATCATGTTATTTGGGCAGGCCTTAGCAGGGATGCCTTTGCTCTACGTGTTCATTTGGCCGAGTCATTTGGAAGTTCAACAGAAGCTTCAAGGACCCAGGATGGACCCTTTTTTACATATTTAGGGGTCCATTAAGATGTTTGGAAATAGCTAGATCTCTACACCTCACAGACTTTTCTTCACAAGGTCCTTCTTCCTGTGAAGCCTTCCCAGCAAACTAGCCTGCCTTCTTCAAATGGATACTGACTCCCAAGACAGCAACAATATAAGTTAGAAAATTTCTTAATGTCTGGAATTGTACTGGTAAATTTCATTTAAAACACATTCTATTGATTTA